CTGGACTGGAACTGTTTTTATTCTTTTTAATGGCTTTTTGTGTTTTTGTAAGGTTTTTGAACTCTTTTATATTTTTCATGTTTTCTTTGCCTCACTACATCTGTGTAACTAAACAGCACAATGCTAGTTTATTTGTTTTGGTTTAATTTGGCTTAGTAACATGCTTTTTCTTTAATAAAATAAAGATTATAAAACTCAATTGGTTTTCTGAACAGTACACTTGTCATAGGGTCATCTGAGAGTGCTGCCTCGGCCTAGCTTACTTAGAGTCCTGTCAGTGGTGCAAGTTAAGTCTAAGGACTACAAAGCCCACTTGACCTTTTCATAATAATATCTGAGAGTACCAGGGTGTTCTTATGTGGGCAGATCTGTAAGAGGGAGTGTTGTAGCATGGCTAGCTGAGTTTGGACTCACTCAGCCCATTTTAGCATGTGCAAACTCCTGATTGCTCTCTGTCCAGGCTTACACGTGTGTTTTTGAACCCGTGTTTGCTGACAGGCCCTACAGGGGAGCAGAAGAGGCATGGGCCGCAAACTATTATCCGGCGGGCTATAAATGGCCCCCGGGCCGCATGTTTGAGACCCCTGCTTTAGATCTTACAGTCAAACCTCTACGTGACATTTTTGAGCTGCCTTCTGAATCAGAGCTGCAGTATATTTCTTTTACAGTGGCAACTTCAGATTTGTTTGTGGAACAAGCTTCAGTAGCTGTAACAGAAAGGTTGGTATTAAACATCAGAAGTATGATTGTTAAACATATAACCATATATATGATATATGGTGAAAATATTTGTCACTTATTTATGTATATTTCACCATAGTTCAAAACAGAATGTTATTTTTGATATAAAATATATATTATTTATTTCAATGTAGAATCATATAAAGCTCACACGTTCAGCAATGAAACTGCTGGGACAGCTAAAAAAAGTTAACAAAATTAAAATACTTGAATTTACACTGAAATAATAAAATAACAAAATGTTTTCAGTTCATTCAGCAAGAATATGCACAACAAAAATTGCTTGGGTCTAGGATACCTTAGGAAACCATTACTCCCTTATCAGTCTACCTACTCTTCCCTATGGCTAGACCAGAGTAGATGCATAGGACTAATATGAGGGCACTGTCAGTTGGCTGCATCCACAGTATGGAACAACATAGAGCAAACTCAGTAGGCCTTCCGTGCTGTTTTTTTTAACCATTTGATAAACATGTTCTTATCCTGCATGTGTTTGGTTTATCTGCCAGATAATGCTTTTCTATGATCAAGGGTACAACAACACTGGAATTTAACTGGCAGTCTGTACTGCATTGGAAATCACAGTCAGGGCTCACAAAGGGGTTGCCGGTTGCTTTGGGAGTTCTCTGTTCATCCTAGATGAGATGTGATTAACATTATAGCCCACAGCCCCCCCCCTTCCTTCCTTCCTTCCTTCCTTCCTTCCTTCCTTCCTTCCTTCCTTCCTTCCTTCCTCTGGTCCTGCCTCTGCAGGGGAATAAATAGAGGAAATAATAACAACAATGACCCAGCAATAAGGTGATAGGATGATCTAGTGTTCTAAACTAAAAAAATCTGGGTGATTGGGGGAGAGGAAAGAATGCTGGGTGTGTCCCCTCGGTCCTGAATAGAAAGCCACAACTGCCTATGTGACCAAACCACTACCAACAGACATGCTTCCCATCTGTATAAGAATGTATCACAACTAACCACCTGGGGGGGGACTGCTCCAGCTTGAAAAATTAAAAGCGACGTTGAACCAAAAAAGGCTGGACCAATTCAAATCAGCCTTTGCATTGTGTGATCAATAAAAATACTTTGAATTCAACAGTTTTATAAATGGAGCAAATCCCACAGTATCTAGCCATGTAATCACAGCCTACATTTGTCTTCATCCCTACTGAACCTGGTTTTATTTTGTGTTGGTTGCCTAACATCTCTTGTTTATTAAGAGTTATAACATTTTATTTGATGGAAACCATGCTTATTAATAGGGTTCCATTATAAGAACAGGTGAGTCCCTGAAACTGAACTAAAATAGAAAGTGAGAAAATCAAGATCTAATATAAGTAGGGTTGCCAGATGTCAGGCAAAAGGAGGACATGTCCTCCTTTTTAGCCTAATGTCCTCTGTCAGGCAGGCAAAGATAAAAAACTTTAAAATGTCAGGCTTTTGTATATTTTATGTTATAATTTTGGATGGAAGGAGGAGATGTGGAAGGACCCCCTTCCCCTTGGCTTTCCCCACCCCCATCTGTCTGCCGACTCCTCGTATTTTGAAAAAAAAGCCTCCATAGAATTTATTTTTATTTTTTAACATGACCGTTTCTTCGTCAGTTCACCAAGATACATTTATTGGCAGCTATTGTAGTAAAATTGTAATGATTGTGGGTTTAATCTGGAACGATTCAAATGAAACATTCAATATGTCCTCCTTTGTCCTCCTTTTTGTCTTTCTATGTCCTCCTTTTAGTACCCATGTATCTGGCAACCCTAAATATAAGCATCAATTCAATTGTTAAGTCATGATTCACAAGTGAGTTGCATCTTAAAGTATAGCAGGCTGCAC